TCGGGGTGGGCGTGGCCTCACCTGGCACTTGAAGGGCCGCTCGGTGGAGTGAACCTGCCGGACGTGGCTGTTGAGGTGATCCGGCCTGCAGAGTGACCACAGAGTGACCACAGAGTGACCACAGAGTGACCACCGGAGTGACCAAAGAGTGACCACAGAGTGACCACTGAGTGACCACAGAGTGACCACAGAGTGACCACAGAGTGACCACAGAGTGACCACCGGAGTGACCAAAGAGTGACCACAGAGTGACCAGTGACCACCAGAGTGACCACAGAGTGACCACAGAGTGACCAGTGACTGACCAGTGACCAGTGACTGACCAGTGACCACCGGAGTGACCAGTGACCACAGAGTGACCACAGAGTGACCAGTGACTGACCAGTGACCAGTAACCAGTGACCATTGACTGACCATTGACTGACCAGTGACTGACCAGTGACCACAGAGTGACCAGTGACCACCGGAGTGACCACTGACTGACCAGTGACCAGAGATCAGCAGTGCCCATGGCAATGTCCCAACAGTGACCAACGATGACCCAACGATGACCCAACGATGACCAATGGCCAGCCATGACCAATGACCATGACCCAATGACCCAACCACGACCCAGTGACCCAGTGATGACCCCAAGCCCCACCATGACCCAACGATGACCCAACAGTGACCAACAATGACCCAACGGTGACCAATGACCATGACCCAATGACCCATGCATGACCCAACCATGACCCAACAATGACCAACGATGACCCAACCATGACCCAGTGATGACCCCAAGCCCCACCATGACCCAACCATGACCAACCATGACCCAACGATGACCCATCAATGACCAACAATGACCCAGCCATGACCCAATGATGACCCAACAATGACCCAACGATGACCCAGTGACCCATGAATGACCCAACGATGACCAACAATGACCCAACCATGACCCAATGATGACCCCAAGCCCCACCATGACCCAACCATGACCCAACAATGACCAACCATGACCCAATGATGACCCAATGATGACCAATGGCCCAACCATGACCCAACCATGACCCAACCATGACCAATGACCCAACCATGACCCATCCATGACCCAATAACCCAACCATGACCCAACCATGACCAACCATGACCCAACGATGACCCATCAATGACCCACCCATGACCCAACGATGACCCAACAATGACCCAACGATGACCGATGACCAACGATGACCCAATGATGACCAATGACCCAACCATGACCCAATGACCCATGAATGACCCAACGATGACCAACGATGACCCAACCATGACCCAATGATGACCCCAAGCCCCACCATGACCCAACCATGACCAGCCATGACCCAATGATGACCAACCATGACCCAACGATGACCAATGATGACCAATGGCCCAACCATGACCCAACCATGACCCAACGATGACCAATGACCCAACCATGACCCATCCATGACCCAATAACCCAACCATGACCCAACCATGACCCAATGACACAACCATGACCCAGCAATGACCAATGACCCAATGATGACCCAACCATGACCCAGCCATGACCCAGCCATGACCCAATGACCCACTGATGACCCAGTGATGACCCAACAATGACCAATGACCCAATGATGACCCAACCATGACCTAACCATGACCCAATGACCCAACCATGACCCAACCACGACCCAACGATGACCAATGACCATGACCCAATGACCCAACCATGACCCAATGACCCAACCATGACCCAGCCATGACCCAACGATGACCAATGACCCAATCATGACCAATGATGACCAATGGCCCAACCATGACCCAACCATGACCCAACGATGACCAATGACCCAACCATGACCAACCATGACCCAACGATGACCCATCAATAACCAACAATGACCCACCCATGACCCAACGATGACCCAACAATGACCCAACGATGACCGATGACCAATGATGACCCAATGATGACCAATGACCCAATGACCCAATGACCTATGCATGACCCAACGATGACCAACGATGACCCAACCATGACCCAATGATGACCCCAAGCCCCACCACGACCCAACGATGATGAACCATGACCAACAATGACCCAACCATGACCAACAATGACCAATGACCCAACGATGACCCAACCATGACCTAACCATGACCCAATGATGACCAATGACCATGACCCAATGACCCAACCACGACCCAACAATGACCCAACGATGACCATGACCCAATGACCCAACCATGACCTAACCATGACCCAACGATG